CCCCCCCCTCTCGTGGTACCTCAAGTATTGTGTAGCGAGAACGTATCTTTCGCTCAGCAAACCTCGCATCATCCGTGAGGGGCTTGGTACTGTAGCGCAACTGCGCGTTGCAAAGTGATTGTGGGCAAACGAGCAATAGTCTCAACCTCGTTCTCTTCTATGCATTTCCAACAGGTTAAACTGGAGTCATATCCGCTACATTGTTTTAAGGCGACGGATATGAAAAAAATGGCACACGTGATCAACCACACTGCCTCAACCCTGATACTACCACATGGTCTGCATCACACTAACCTCTCTCCTATAATTCGTCTGCGGCGGAACGGCGGCAACCATGTTGGGCCATGCTTGGCGACTGTGGAGCGGTGGAGGAGCTGAGGTCGGATCTATACAAAGACCTTTATCAACGCAATGCTACAATTTTGAAAAGCAATCTTCTCTCGCGAAATGTGTTACGCCCCAACCATTCTCAGGGTCATATAATCTGATATCAGTACGCAGGCGGTCCACGCGGTTGTGCGCGACCTTCCACCTCATTCAGAAAGCATCTACTCTGTGCCGGTCGCTTGGGAATGTACTTTGAGTGGAACAACCCTCGCTGATGGCGCCGCGCCACCTGCACCGCGGAGAGTTCTGTTTTTCTCAGCGCTGTCGATTGAAAACTTTTGTCAGACTCGCACTCCCCACGAACCACCCCAAGCACGACAAACAAGAAAAGTACCGCTAGGTTCGGTAACACCATCGTCCATGTGCTGCCGATCGAGGAGAGGATCTGTTGAATGACCGGCCTCGGGTGGGTACAGCCCCCTTTGTTTGGGTCGTACGCGTCATCGCAGCTGGAGCAGAGCGGCTGCGCCCAATACCCATTGACAGGGTCCCTGAAGCAGATGCATGCATCCAAAGCAGTATCTGGTTTGCGACAGCATCCATGCCCATTGCATGTAGTGAGAGGGTCACAACTCAAAATCTCACTGCTGTAATGCTTTTCGCACGACTCGTTGTCTCCTATAACGGAATATGTGCGACCCGCGCATGTTGTGCAATTGAAGTTGAAGCCTTTATTTTCCGTCGTACATATGGTGTCCGCCACACAGTGTATGGTCCATTGACTGATATCAGCACAACTTGTCGGGCACCTCGACGTGTACGGGAAGCAATAACTCCCGTTTGGGTCGACATCATTGAAATCTCGGTCCCAGGTGCATCCCTCCGATGTCCTCGTCACAGTAATACCCGAAGCGTTGTTACAGGTGCATTCAAACGACGAGCCAACGCAGTTGCGAGAAGAGACGGCACCGCCATGACCGAATACCCTTGAGCACCATTCATCGGTGGTGTTGCAGCTCTCCGGGCATTCGATGTATTGGTCATCATCGCCAAAAACGCACAAGAGGTTACTGGAGAGAGCAACTAGGATACAAAAAAAAATGTACGCCAACATAACCCTCACTAGAGCATACTATATCTATTCTATACTGGTTCAAAGCGAAGAGAAAGTGCTACTCACACAAGCTGCAGCCGTGTGTACACAAAACATTGAAGGCACGTGTGGGCTGAGGAGAAGAGTTCACGATGTGTGCATGGGGGGAATGCACTTGTGATTGGCTAGAGGCCAACCGTGCAGTTTCCTTCCCATTCGTAGTTTTCTATCTGTATTTTGCCTTCACGTTTTCGCTTTTTCCCCCCTTTTTTGTGTGTGTGTGTGTGTGAGTGAGTGTGTGTGAGAGAGAGTGTGTGTGTGTGTTTGCACTTTTCGTTTTATTTTGCGTACTTCTTATTTCTATCCCCCGCCCCATTTTATTCCTGAGAATGTTATGCCACAAGATGCTCACGCCAAGACCAGCCCGCGAGACCCGAGCACAGCGCAGACGCGGATAAGGGACGTCAGCAGGAGCAGCGACCCCAGCTGGTGCCCCGTCGCAACGGGAATGTCCACGTAGGAAACAACGGTCCATATGCCCAATCCCACCTGCAGTGCAAGAATGCCATTGACAGCAACCATGCTGCGCTGCAGCATCCTTGGAAGTACCACACCACGCCGAACACAAGCCGCGTTAAGACTCAAAATAGAGATTGTGCTAGCAGCAGCCATCAAACGATGCCACGTTTGCGCTGCAGCAGGGTTTTCAAGGGCGTTAAGCCACAAAGGCTTCACCGTGACAAGATGATCGCGTGGGGGCACCCAGCCGCCACCCATCCACGGAAACTCATCGTTGTACAATAGGCCAGCGTCCAATCCAGCCACAAAGGCCCCGGAAACAACAGTACAGAAAACAAGAGCAAAGGAGAGCCGCGCCAGTGCTTGTATCGGTAACTTGCCATGGAAGTTGATCGCCTTCGGCATCTTAAGCGCGAAGCCAATACGCATCATACAGGCGTAAATGGTGAAGGCAAGCACTAGGTGTGAGGCCAGGCGGTACGCCGAGACCGTCGCCTTGCGCCTCTCGTCCAGCAGGCGCGGGTCGAGGCCGCTGCGCACCATATACCATCCCATTCCGCCCTGCGCACCGCCCAGTGCGAGAATGCCGATGATGGACGCGGCGAGGGCCGACTGCCCCTTGAACCGCCCCTTGCAGAAGTAGTACAGCATGGGAGCGCCGTAGACAATGCCCAGACTGCGCGCCAGCACTCGGTGGGCCCACTCCCAGAAGAAGATGAATTTGAATTCGTCCAAACTCATCGTGTCCTTCTGCTTGAACTCAGGGAAGTTTTGATACCGGGCGAACTCCTCCTCCCACTCCTTCTGCGTCATGGGTGGCCGCACGCCCGTTACCGGCTTCCAGTCTACTATGCTTAGTCCACTCTCTGTGAGGCGCGTAACGCCGCCAATTACAACAACACCACCCACCATAGCGGCTGAAAAGTACAACCAATGTGCCACGGACCTGTTTGTTGCGGGAGCCTGCCACCCCACATCACCCGCAGTGGCAGCAGTAGATTGCAGTCGTCGCGTGAAGAAGAAAGAAGACCACCGTGGTCGCGAAAAGTTCGTCTGCGGAACCCTCAGCATGAAGCGTTGCATGATGCCTGCGTGCCTTTTTTAAAACTCTTTTGTGTCCTTTGATTCTGTTTTAGTGGTGAAGATCTTTCAAAATGAAGGATGGGGATAAGGAGCGGCACCAACAATGGAAGAAACAAAACAAACAGAAGGCAGCGAGGCGGACAGATGCGTGCACGCACCCACGCACACAGAGAGAGGGAACAATAAGAGGGGGGGAATAGACAGAGATGCATATACGCCACAAGGCATTGATTGGCATCGGAGTTGGTACCAGTCACACCCATTGAGTGGGCGAGATGGGTGTGATGGAGCGAAGCGGCAACAGGAATGCTGCTAAAAGAGAAAGAAGACGAAAGGGGCAAAGACCCCGAGGCGACCATCGCAAAACTACTCTGCACAACGGGGAGAAACACCCCCAAGTGCACCGCTAGCGACGCCGCAGTTGCGATGGTGACACGCCGTACTTTGGAGACGATAGACGCAGGAGGATCACCGTAACGGACAATGCATCGCGGGATGCACAACGGCAATGAGGAGAAAGCACAGCGCTAATGTACCTTGGCACGCGGTGCCGTATAATTCAAGCGCCATCGGGTACACGTCAGAGAACACGGGCGTCAGTGCGACGGCCATAACGCGAGTGAGGGCCGCGACAGAGCCCCACAGGATTATGCGAAACTGCACTGCAGCCATGTGCCCCGCCGCATCTCCGATGCCTGTAGAGCAGAATACACAACACAGTGAAGTAGAGTAGGAATAGCAGTGCCTGAACCAAGGCGATCCAGTATTCTCCTCGGCGATTCCCGGCGGAACCAAGGTGATCTTGACCCATCAATGTTAGGGAGAGGGCAGTAACAGCCTGCGCCAGCGAGCAGCACACAACAAGCATGAACAGCACGGACTTGGGGTGTCGGAAGATGGGCCAGTTCAGCAGCAACTTCTCCCGCACCAGCGTTAGACACGACTCGTCACTGCGGATTCTCCGCGCTCACCCCGGCTAACCGAAACAACGACGACAAGTCCGGCGTGTGTACGTCGTCAGCCACTGCTCACTCGGGGAGTCCAGCAGCGACCGCACATCCATCACAGACGCAATCGGTGTTCTACTCTCTAGCGATTGTGGCATCGTAGAGACGAGACCTTGCAGCAGCACAGCTCTCTTGGCCGCCTTTGTTCGTCCTCACAAAGGCGTTGTTCCTCTTCCTGTCGGTTGCGCCAACGCCATGCGGTCATCGCGTTCGAGGTGGCAGNCGCCTTTGTTCGTCCTCACAAAGGCGTTGTTCCTCTTCCTGTCGGTTGCGCCAACGCCATGCGGTCATCGCGTTCGAGGTGGCAGTGATTTGCGTACGATGCGACGCCAAGAATTCGTAAAGCGAGCGGACTGTTGATGGCGATCAGCGCCCACTCGATGCGAGGATCCATCGCCTCACTGCTCATCATAGCAGCGTATCGTCTGGGAGTATACGACGGAGCATCCGTGTGCTCTTCCACATGTCGCAATGACGAATCCCAGACGCCGCCTCTGTTTGCTCCCAAGTCCCCAGGTTATTGGGGGGGGGGGGCAC